CTACATCACTGTATTATGATTCATTTATTCATTTAAAACTCTGAGTCCTTAATGCCTCAGTGGAGGTAACACCTGAGGTGTTCCCCAAATTATGTTCTTCCTCCTTATGTGTTGAAATGCACCTCCAGGCATGGGTGGGATGTCTGGGAGAGTGGGGCTGATATAGAAGGAAAGAAGCAGTGTCCTAGACAGGATTGACTTGAACTGGATTTTGAACTCTCAAAATTCCCCAGGGTGGCTGGATGCCTAGGGTGACTCAGGCTCCTCCTGGGGGGCTCGGCTCAGTCTAGCTTCAAGCCACAGACTTTATGATGTGGATCTGAGCTTGCTGTCAATATGATCTCCCTGTATAGACTATATTAATAACCTTGGTGCAAGTGCTGTAGACGTGGAAAGTGAAATCCTATCCCTGTCCAGGAGATTCCAATCCTCAAGGCATAAGGGCCAAGCCATCCGTTGAATTGCAAAAGACTTACAACGAAGGCAGCTGACTCGAGCCTGGACTTGACTCGGAATTCACTGAATGCCGTGTGGAGAGGGAGCCTGCTCTGCAGAAGCGCTCAGGTTACAGAGATAAAAGAGCAGCCTACAGCACTGACCAGAGCCTTTTCAGCAGACTTTTGAGAAGGAAGGGCAGGAAAAGGACCTGCGCAGACCACTTTGGCTTTGGGGGACTTTTTTACATTCTTTGACATGAAGAGTGGTCTATAAATACTCCAAGAGTGACTCCCTTATCATTTCAGATCCTTTTCAGGGGTCTTACAAGGAGGTACAGTTCAGCCTGAATCTCCAACTCGACATTTTTTTTCAATCTAAGTATTAGGCTACAAACTCTATTGTATAATAGAGCTCAAAGAAGGTTCAGATAATAAAGTAATGCCTTTAGAGTGAATAGTTTCTATTATACCCATTCTCCTTCAGTTGATGAAATCTGGCTGTATCAGCTACACAGGTTTTGATGAAATTAGTGTTGAATAAAAATTTTCCCAGTTGATATCCAATATAAAATGTCTATATAGGATGTCATGGTGGAGCATCTAATGCAGATGATAAATCACAACTAGCCATACTTCCAGATGCATTCCACAAAGAAAACAGTCTCTCCTGCATCCTGGGTTTGCATCATCCTGGCAAACTGTTGTTGTCATTGTCCTGTTGTTAGCTTGCTACTGCCACAGCATCTTGCATCTCAGCTGGCAGAAGATTTGTCCTTGATTAGAGAGCCAGGAACTGTGCATCGAGCAATTCCTTATATGGCTGTCTTCCAGAAGACTCTGGAATACCAAAAGTCAGTTTCTGCTTTGACTTGCTAACAACCCACTGGCAAGATCTGGAACTTTAGAAACGTTTAGGGTGAAACGTTTAGAGTATGTGTCTTGTCCTGCTCACTCTTCTCCCTGCAAAAGGGACACTAAAGTTTGTATCCACATCTACAGCCCCATTAGGACAAATAGTTGATTTTTTAGACCAAGTCAAAAAGCTGCTTTTTGTAGGGAGAAGAGTGAGCAGGACAGACACAGCTCGAGTGAAATAAAACACACCAGCTTGTTGACTTGGTCTAAAAAATCAACTGTTTGTCCTAATGGGGCTGTAGATGTGGATACAAACTATAGTGCGCTTGTGCAACCACACACTGCTCACAGGGTCACACTCTTGGTGCCACAGATGGAGGGTGGCATTTGTAATTGGGCAGAGCTAGGACACTTTAAAAATTGTTTTAATTCTATTGAAGCATAGTTGACTTACAATGTTGTGCTAGTTTTTGGTGTCCGCTAAAGTGATTCAGTTACTGATCTATCTATCTATAATAGTTTGCATTTGTTAATCCCAAACTCCCAATCCATCCTTACCCCATTCCCACCCCCACCTTGGCAACCACGTCTGTTCTCTGTGTCTGTGAATCTGTTTCATAGACATGTTCACTCGTGTCATATTTCAGATTCCATATAAGTGACATCATATGGTATTTGTCTGTCCCCACCTGGCTTACCTCACTTAGTATGACAATCTCTTGGTCCACCCATGTTGCTACAAATGGCATTACTTCATTCTTTTTTTATGGCTGAGTGGCATTCCATTGTATATATGTACCACATCTTCTGGACTTGGATACTTTTTGTACGACCTCATTGACAAGGAAGGGACTGGGTCACTGGGCACACACACTGGCTGTATTTCCTTACATCAGTGGTAAGCTCTCTGAGAACGTAGACTGGTGTCTGTTGAATATATTGGGGTACCAGGTAGGATATAGTTAGTGCAAAGAAAACATTTTAAAATCATATATTGTCAAGGAAGGGGACAACTGACATCTCTTGAGCATCTACTCTATGGCAGATCCTCTGTGAGAGGCCTTGTGATTACCTCGTGTTGGCTTGTGTGCTTGAGGGTATCAAGGGAGTGGTCAGCAGTGACAACTCCACATCAGTTGTGTGCCCTTGACCAAGGTCCTTCGGCCCTACCAAATGCCATTTCCCCACAGATAAAATGAGGGCAAGAACAGCTGCCTCGTTGAGTTATTTTGAAGGTCAAGTCAGTGTCCCTGAAAGTATTTGGTAAACCAAGAAGCCTTAGACCAAATATTATTGTTATTGGGCTCTGAAGAGAAGTTTTAAAAATGAAGAAGCCAAAGTCCCAGCCTTTCAGAAGGTTATTGCATAGCGGAGTGGACAAAGTTGCTTAAGACACTTCCCTAAAAAATAAAGGGATCAGATAGTGTGGGTGATGTCCCAAGGTTGTGTGTGCATTGAGTTACCCAGTTTGCAGTGTCTGCATCTATGTTTCCCTCTTTACTATTAACAAAGTTCAGGCTCTGAGCCCCTAACCTCAATTTCCTTCAGTGTCCTCAGAGCATAAGCCCCCCCACACACCATGATCTCTCTCTGCCTAGGATGAGGACCATCTAAGTTTCTTGATATTCGATTTGTGGACAGGATGACTCACTCTCCAGCTCATGCCTAGATGTCTTGGAGCTGGATGAGCATCACTGGGACATTGGACTCACTGTGGAGACTGACAGATCTAGGTTCAAGTCTCAGCTCCACTGGGCTTCCCAGGTGGTGTTAGTGGTAAAGAACCTGCCTACCAATGCAGGAGACGTAAGAGACACAGGTTCGATACCTGGGTCGGGAAGATCCCCTGGAGGAGGGCATGGCAACCCCACTCCAGTATTCTTGCCTGGAGAATTCCACGGATGGAGGAGCCTGGCAGGATACAATCTATGGGGTCGCAAAGAGTCGGACACGACTGAGCACAACAACATAGCACAGCTCTACTACTTCCAAGCTGGGTGGCTCTAATCCTGAACCCCATTTTATTCTTCTGTAAAATAGTGTACAACAACCAGTACAGCAGAAGTAACCACCTCACTGGGCTGCCAAGCATGTTTTTTTTTTTTTTAATCTATTTATTTGGCCATGCCAGGTCTTAGCTGCAGCATGCAGAATCTTTTAGTTGTGGCACATGACCTCTTAGTTGCGGCATGTAGAATCTAGTTCCCTGGCCTGAGATGGAACCTGGAGCCCCCTGCATTGGGACTGCACAGTCTTAGCCACTGGGCCATCAGGGAAGTCCCTTGCTGAGCATGTTAATTGAGAGAGGGCATGTGAAGTGTTCAGCCAAGTGCTTGATACATAACAGGTATGGAGTCAAGGAGGCCTTCCTGGCATAGTCTGCTAAGCATTCTGGAGTCAGCCTACAGGTGACATCACCATGGCCCGCCATCCCTGACCATGGTGCAGAGGCACTGGAACTGGCATCCTTGACAGAATGTCACCCTTTCCTCAGTTGCCCCCCATCACAATTCTCACCCTTTATTCACTTGTATCAACTCTTCTGACTGGGGACTGGAATATTGTCTTCTGTGTCAGCTAAATATTTCACAAGATGGTACCCACTAAGGCAGCTTTTCAGTGTGGATGAATGTTCACCGTGTCTTTCACCAAGTTCATTTCCCTCTGCTGCTCTAAGCTTGTAGCTTTCTGCATTATCATGCCTTTTAGTGAAATCTGGATTCTGAAAATACATACATAAAAAAGTAAATCCTTTTCTAGGTTTTGCTCTCAAGCCCAGTTAGGTCTAATCTGGCTCCCTCTGATTAAAAATTAATTTTCACTTAGGCGGTGACATGTATGATTTCTCTAAACTAATTTTTCTCTTTTCCTGGGTTATTCTTATAAAACCTCCCTCTTCAAGCCCATTTGGGTGACAAAGAGATCCTTTTCCTGGGAGCCACTTTGCCCTCAGAGGCTAGCTTCCTCTAAATCCTCCAGATTGCTCTGAGATATAATTTTCAGCTTTTGTATTTTATTATTTAAAACTGGAACTCCCACAGAGACCAGCCAGGAGATCAGCAGTGGGCATGCTCCTCTCTTGCAAAGATCCCACAGTAAGCAAACAAGTGGGAGGCTGTGGGCCAGGCAGGGCCGTTCTTGCTTTTGTTATTATCATTATTAAAACCTACCTAGGGCTTTTGTGTCAGTGGGAGGTCAGTTCTCAACACTTTTCCCCAATCCTTTAGTTTTGACTTTACTTTCCAAGTCAGCAGAAGCCTGGAAGGTTTCTTTTCAAGTTTTACTCTTACCCACGTGATCTAAGAAAGTTGCCTCCTCTAAGTCCTCCTTTGGCTTTTCTGACTCAGTCCCAAGCTTGAGGTCATCTTTGGTAGAGCATTTTTACTCGCACAAAGGCGAGAGAGAGTGCGGTCCCTCCTCAGCTCTGCTTGGTAGCTGGCATAACTTAGATCACAGCAAGTTCCTGCTGGGACCGGTCTTTGGTCTTAGGAATCAATCATCTGATACAGCCCCTCCATTTACCAAGGTCAGGAGCTAAATCCCAGAGAGGTCAAGAGACTAGTCCAGGGTCACACAGTGAGCTGGAGGCAGAACTAAGACTTAAACATTGTTTTCTTTGCCTCCAGCTTGGCGCTCTTTCTACTCAGCCACGGGGAAAGGGTGTTGCTGGCCCAGCTCTGGCTCACGCCGGATGAACACAAAACTGACCGTGTTTTTCATGACTGCTGTGGTTTGCCCAGCTGATCAAGTCGAAACTGCTCTGGCCAAATCGACCATCAACTTCTGAAGTGAACAGAGTTGAAAATTACTGTCAATAATTTATAGAGTGGGGCTGGCCCTGTAAGTTCTGCACCTACTTAAAACCCTCCAGCTCAGCTCCCCAAGCATCTCCTCCACTGCCATTATGCCTGTTTCACGGTGTCTCCTGGTGGGGATCATTCCCCCCCGCCCCTTTTGTAGATGTCTCCTGCCGGGGTTCACGTGGACACGTCTCATTCCTCAGTGTGATTAAATGGATCATTTTATCCTTTCGTCACCCAGGGGACACCAGCCCCGGAAAGCACTGGAGAGATGTGAAGGGAGGGTGAGACAAGAAGGCAGGCAAAGAAAATGGGGTCGGGGCAGAGCCAGCCCCACCCCCGTCATTAAATATGTGTATGTTACTGTTGTGGGAAATATAAACCAAGAGCTCAAACCAAAGATATTCAGAGTTGAAAGCGAAGAGAAATGGACATTTACACAAGGTGTACTCTTTCTAGGAACTCAACTGAGTACCTCCCACAGATTGTTTTAGTGAACTCATATTATAGCTTAGTGAGGCTGTTATAGCCCCATTTTCAAGGATGAGAAAACTGAGGCTCTGAGACAGCTCAGAGAGCCCTGATGAAACCCCAGGGCAAGGTGCTCTCCAAACCCATGCCCTCTCCTTTTTAAAATAAACTCATTTGAGATTGGCTTCCTCTTTATTCTACCCCAAAGCCAGCTTTTGGAAGGTACCTGGTCAGGCTATTTAATGAGTGGAGACTGAGGTCCAAATAAGAGACATGACTGTATCAGGAGTGGAGTCTGACCTGCTGCCCCTCGTGGTTGCCAGGCCTTGGCTCACCATGGCTTTCAAAGTCCTGCCTGAACAGACTCCTCCAAAGGCTGTCGGTGAGAAATGGGGGTTTCACTGTTGGGGAAATGGTGGGCAGTTCTCATCAGGAGAAGGGCAGCCATGGGTCTGATGTTCAGAGTTGACCATGAACCGTGGTCCAGTGCTTCTTTCTCTTGCCTTTGCAGCACATGTTCATTCAGTATACACATTACCCCTACATCCTCCTCCTCTTTTAATTCCTTCAACCCCATGTGTTTTTTTTTAAAGGCTAAACAGATAAATTCAGTGCTTCATGGGAGAAAAATAGACAACCATTGAGAGTGCTGTCTATAACATACTGAACCTGTTTAGAATATTAAAGTCAAATTTTGGAGCAGTGTTTTCATGAAGCAATGCTGTTCATTCCGTTTGGAGAGATGCAGAAAAACAGCAACGAAGTGACAACAGTTTGCATGTCTTCAATCTTGGTGACAAAAATCACCTATAATTGAGAGTATGAGTTTTTTTTTTTTTTTAATTAGCGACAGCTGGAAAGACAGCTTTGATGCAAATGCTCGGGGTAAGGGGAAAGCATATTTCCTTAGTGTTTTATACTCTATAAAGAATGCCAGCACTTTTAAAAATAAATTTATTTACTTCAGTTATTTGCCAGCACTTTATCTGACATTAAGTTTCCACTGTTTCTGTTTCAATTTGAACAGGGGACCCTGCTGTTACCCCTGTCACATAGGCTCAGGACAAGTCCAGCTGCTGATGGCCTAATGGGTCCCCACCATGTGACTGTTACAGAAAGCAGGAAGGACTGGGCTACGCCCTGCGATGAGGCGCTGAGAGTTTGGCAGCACTCTGGCCCTTGAAGAAGACAAGAAAAGCAAGTGACTTACCATATTAGAGCAGGACAATTCCCTTGGGGCATAACACCGATGGTGACTTCTTACAAATAGGGCAACTGAGCCCAAGAGCGAACAGGTGTCTTCCTCATGGTCATACAGGGTCCTGTTCTTGGCAACCCAAGTCTCTGGACTCCCAGGCCAGGGCTCTCTCAAACACTTCCTGCCCTCCTCTCAGACACCCGCAACCAAATGCGAAACTGGGAGCACTGCTTAGTATGCTTAGTATGCAAGCCAGCCTGACCTTTATGCTCCCATCGGCAACCTTTTGTGGAAACCATGGGAGGACAAGGTTCTGGATAAATGATGAAAAGAATGGCACACTGTGGAGACAACCAGAGGCCCTGCTCAGACTGCAGAGTCCTCCTCACGCTCCAGGTCCTGAATCCCAAATATATACACAGACGACCACTCAGGCTGCCCTAAGAAAGAAGATGCAAAACCATAGGCCTGTTCCTCATCCCAGTCTCCAAAAGAGGGCTGATTTCAGAGTATGAGCATGCATGCTAAGTCGCTTCAGTTGTGTCTGACTCTTTGCGACCCCATGGACTGTAGCCCACCAGGCTCATCTGTCCATGGGATTCTCCAGGCAAGAATACTGGAGTCAGTTGCCATTCCTGACCCAGGGATCGAACCTGCATCTCTTATGTCTCCTGCATTTCAGGTGCATTCTTTACCACTAGCACCATCTGGGAAGCCCTTCTAGAATATCAGGATCTTTGTTACTCAATTCCCGAGGGGAACCAGTTCCTGGAAGATGGGCCCAGCCCAGCAGTGCAAGAGGTCTTGGAATGTCCTACGAAGGCCCAGGCATGGCCTCAGGAGAACGTGGCTCTCAGGACACACACGGGAAGAATTCCCTCTTCTTAGCAGGAATCCTCTTCACCCCAGGAACAGTCCTCTGAGACTTGTTCCCTACTCCCCCACAGAGAGTTTCTTCTCACTTTTAGGAACCCAGATATATGAAATCCACCACAAGAGAGTAATTTCTTTATTTTTCTTACAGGATAAATTTAGAGAAACATCTCAGAAATGCAAATACCCTCCAGTGAGCTGGTATATATAGTTACACTAGAATACACTCAGGTGGCTCAGTGGTAAAGGATCTGCCTACCAATGCAGGACACTTGGGTGATGTGTTTGACCCCTGGGTCGGGAAGTTCCCCTAGAGGAGGAAACGGCAACCCACTCCAGTATTCTTGCCTGGAGAATCCCATGGACGGAGGAGCCTGGCGTGCTACAGTCCGTGGGGTCGCAGAGTCAGACATGACTAAGTGAATGAGCACACGCATCCAATCTCAGAAGCCGGACTTCACAGCCTCATTCTGCTCCTTCTTTGAGCAGAGCAAAACTATCAACCTGACTGCCCCTTCCTCTGAGAATCAGATTGACTGTGTGTATGTGTTCCTCTTTATGACCTAAATGAGTAAATCCTGACTATTTCCTGTATTGGTTACCAGTCCCCCACCCCCATCCAAGGCACCTTCCCATGTTCCAGTCCCACTGATATCTCTTAGAGCAGGAACTCCAGAGGTCTTAAGAGTCAGTGGGGGCATGAATGTGTGACCCACTGTGTTCTAGAAGTGTTTCTCTGGGGACCCACTGAATGTATTGGTGGGCGGGAGGTGGTCCTCATATGGCACCATGAAGAGAGCCACCTACTGAAGAGACCAAAGGAGTCGAATGGGTGGCCTGGGAACAGGTAGGGACAACTGGCAGGTTGAGCTCCTTAGCGATCCTCATGGCTCCCCTGGCTCTCCCCTCACCTGCCCTTGCAGATGCATCCCACAAGCCTGGGGGCATCTGGGGAGCTCTCTGGGAGGCCAAGAGGTCTGCCTTGAAAGTTGCTGCATCTGACTCCTTCACCCATCACCTGACCCCCCCATCCCTCCGCAGGACACCCAGATAGGTGAAATGC